GCTGGCCCCAAACCCCCCCGCTGGCCTGCCTCACAGCCTGCCGTGTAATTAGCGCTGGGGATTGACTGTGATGACGGACAGCTCATGCCACAGAGAGCCGCAGGGTACAGAAGGCCGCGTCTGAAACCTGACTGCAGAGCCCAGGCCTGTGCGCAGCACATCGGGACCACAGCATGCCATGCAGCCCTCCCCGTGCCCAGGGAGAGACCCCCAGGGTCCAGGCCCCAGGGCTGGCAGGTACACAGGGCAGGGGGTGGAGCTGCAGTGCTGGGGCGGGTCCTCCCCAGGGCCGCTTCCCCTCTGCTCATTTGGGAGCTGCTGGGACGTACAAGGCAGGTGGGGTGAGTGAGGGTGGACTGTACAGGCTCCGTCCCCACGGGCTTCATGGGGGCCTGGGTGCCCGAGCCAGAGCAGCTTCGAGGCCTTCCACTGTAGGTGCCCACAGGACAGATGGGCAAACCGTGGTCCAGGGAGGCCATGCTTCCCCAGAGCACTGCCACCAGGCCGGGGGCGGAGCATAAAAGCAGGCAGGGAGGAATCGGCCCCATCTCGGAGGGCACACGCCCTCAGGCTGCCCCTGTTGGTGCAGGATCCGGTACCTCCCACTGGAGGCCCAGACCACGGTGGGGCTTAGGTTTCCCCGCCAGGCCTCGGGCACCTCGTGGCTGTAGCAGTGCCTCAGGGTCATTTGGGAGTGAAGTTAAGGGGATGGTGGCTGTTAATGCGCGTGCTGGCCGAGCGTGGTTGTGTAGTTGCGGGCAGTGATGGTGAGCTCTGGCCTCGGGGCCCTGGGCTGCTGGGGGCCAGCCCGGAGCACTCGGGGCAGGACAGGGCAGCCTGCACTGTAGGCCTCTGGCCAACCTGCTCTGGCCGCCTGCTCCCTGGGAACCTACACCTTCGTGGGGGATTGTGACCCTGGCATCCCCGTTCTTACCTCCCAGCGGCCCCCTCTGCAGCCCTGTGGGCCCAGCCCTGGCCAGGTGTCCCCTCGTCCAGGGCCTGTCTGCCCAGCGCACCTCCCTGCCCGCGGGCCGACCGGGCCCAGGCCTGTCTCAGGAGCACTTCCTCTGCCGGTAATCCCTGGGCCCGCCCGCCGGGGCCCGCTGCCCTGCCCAG